AAGTCCCCTGCATCTGGGGGGACGGGGTGTCCCGCGAGGCGGGAGGCAGCACGAGCACCCCGCTCACCCCACCGGGAGCCTGCGCAGCGGACGCGTGGGAACAGCGACGTGCGTCTGCGGGTATATTTAGCTCAGCAGCCACAATAGAAAGCAGCTTCTGATGTGCTCAACTCTAGAGTCGCTCCCGTCGCCTTCCCAGGGTTCCACCCTCCAGGAAAATTAAGCCCAGCTTTAATTACTTTTTGACCAACATGATGCGTTCCCCCCCTCCCCGCCCCAGACACGCACAGCGACAGTGTCCCCGGGGAATGGGCAGAGGAACAAAGTGGAACCAGGGTACTTTGGGAATTTTTTTTCTTCCAAGAAAAATGAGAACAGGGTTCTCAGCAAAAGATTTCTTCCTCCTCCCCCACCCCCCCAGGTGATTAAATATGTGCACGTGGGTTTGGAAGAGAGGGTGAGCAGCACTGGTGGAGGGATGCGCACGGATTTTCCATAGGGCATTTGGGGACCCGCCTCAAGCCCGTTCCAGCCATCTACACCCCAACACCCACCCACGTCTCCCCCATCCCTCTCCCCAAACCTCTGCCCAGCCGGCTCCGAGCACCCGAGGGACCCCAGCACTCGCCCTGGCTCTCACAGCCAGGGGACCTGCAGGGGCTGGAAGGGACCCAGGTTCCAGCCCCCAACGTGCTCCCCATGCTGTCCCGTCTCCCCAGGGTGACTGGAGATGCGGGAGCCCCCGGGGAGGGTCCTGCTCTCCAGGCAATCGGCCAGGCACCACCCGGGGATGTCCCTGGGAGCTGCTGCCAGCTGGTGTGCGAATGCTACGGACTCCCACTACAAGAGCGAGACAAGCGGAGCTGGAGGGCAGGGACGAGCGCCAGCAGCCACAGCCTCGCAGGGACGGCGCAGAGATGCCACCCAGCATCGCAGATTTACGTGACCACCAAGAGACATCACAGAGGGTTTCTCCAGGCCAGTGCAGCTGCTCCTCCTGCTCCCCAGTGTCCGACTGTCCCAGCTCTCCAGCACCGGGGGTACCATCCCTGCTCTCCCAGGAGGAACATCACCGCACCGGGCAATATGAGACCCTGGTCAGGCCAGGTAGGCGTTCACATGTAGTTCAAGTCATGCCTAGGCACCACGACACCTCCTCCAAACATGGCATAAGCATCTGCAGAGCCAGCACAGGCCCTCTCCTTGGCCCTGTCCTCAACCCCACCAGGCGATGCTGGGGAAGCTGGCAGCACTTACCGTGCTCTGCCTCAGTTTCCTTGCTCTGCAACAGAGATCAGCCGCTGCGGTGGTCAAAGCGGCCAAAGGTCTGGGTGCGTTCTGGCACTCCTTGTCCCAACCTCTACCAAAAATGATGCTGGCCATGTCCTGTCTGCCCATGGGTCTGCGAGAACTGGGTGTGATGCTCTCAGGGCCCAACCTCCAGGACGATGGAGCTGCTCCCTCACCTGCACCTGGAGGCAGCCAACCTGCTCTGCACCTGGTCACAGGCCACCAGCCAGCAGGACAGCTTGTGCCCAGCACCAGGACCCACTGCAGAGCCAAACACGCCGGGGTGCCCCGTCCTAAAGGGCTGGAACACCCACAGAGAGCCCAGCTGATCCCCTGGGAGCCCAGGGCACAGGCTCCTACGGTTATTTGGCAATTAGGGACTTATCTGCTAAGCAGCAACCAAAATAAACCAGCACTGAACCAGTGGGGTGCTGCCTCACCCCCCCAGCTCAGGAGTGGACCAGAGCCCCAGCTCCACCAGGCAGCCCGCGCCCGGCCGTCCCCAATGCTGGCACAGGCCACTGCTTCTCCTGCTTGAAGCCGGCTTGGGGAGGACACGGGTGTCCTGGGGCCAGCAGGATGATCAGTGCCAGCCCCGTCTCACTCCCACCCACACTGCCAAACCAGCCGAGGCACAGACAACACGCCCAGGGAGGAGGGAGCCGGCAGGACCGCAGCGCCAGCACCTCTGGCCCCTCCAGGCTCAGCTCACTGAGAAGGTGACAAGGGACTGAGCGCCCAGCACAGAGCTGCACGGTGCCGGCTGAGCGTCCC